ATTTGCTTTTTGACTTTTAATTCAGAAATGTTTCCCAACATCTTTTCATTCCGCCGTATTCCATCCATTGTTGAGTTCAGCCCATAGTTTTAAAAAAAAACAAACAAACAAACAAAGAAATAAAAACGTAACGTATTGCTTGAAAAAGGAGATAACAACACCACAAGCGTAAGTGACGTTGGCCTTGGCAACACCGCCAAGGATTTGCATACTGTCAAAAACTTGCTCTTTCTCTCCCTCTTAAAGGTACAAATCTTTTGTTATGACTTTGGCATTGTGACTTTATTTTAGCTTAAGTTAAGCTTCCTCTAGTGTGCGTCGGGCATTGTTGAAACATATTGGAGGAATGCTAGTCAACCTTCTCTCTAACCTTCTCTTTTGGACTTTCTCCCTTTTTAGCATGACATGTGTCATATTCCTTACACTTAAAACAATGCCATGAATGGAGCGCATTTCGTGGCCAGCTATTTACCTCCTTTGGAGAGCTCCCGCGGCGAAAGGGATTAGTCACTGCTATCGGCGGTGGACACCCTTGGATCTCATCCAAAAAAAAAAACAATGTCATGAATGCATAGATTTTGTTTTCCAAGTTTACCCTTATTAAATATAATTTTTTTCCCATTACTTCCATGTTTCTTTCAATTAATCCAAATTTTTTTTACAGCTTTCTTATCGCCTTGTTAAAAAAATTAAATAAGAAAAGGGTAATGCCATGGCTTTTTTCCATAATTAAAAAACAATTAATTAATTAAAATTATTTTAAAAAACTAAGTATTTCTCCCTTCGTCTTCCTCTTCCACGTTAAACCCCCACCCCACCACCCCTAAACTGTTGTAGGAAAAAAAAAACACAGAGACACCCATCTCATGCGGTCAAGGCTGCCATATAATGAAGAAAAGAACAAATCCAAATCCTAAATTTCATATCATAAAAACAAATTGCTGGGTGAGTGTGGAGCGGCAAAAGGACTATTTTTTCATCCAAATTCCAAAGATTATTTGGAACAGTAAAATTAGGTTTCAATTGTAAAAATATTTGCTGATACATTATAAATCTTGGAATTGATTTCAGTAGTAATAGAGAATCAAAATGGGGTCGCGCCTCCACCGCATCGAGGATGGGTGGGTTTGGGATGAGACAGGTTGGAGAAGGGAAGAGGGCTAAGACAAGTTGGAGCAGAGAATAAGGCCTGGGTTTGTTGATGGGGTTAGTTTGGTGTGGGGTGCGGTGGGTGTGTGTGGCTAAGGTGGTAAGATGGTGGTTTGGCGGGTGTGGGGTGGATCTGGTTTGGGGTGGGGTGGGAAGAGGGCGGTTGATGATTAAAGTGGGAGGGAGTTGACGGAGAAGGAGGAAGACAAAGAGACTTAATGTATTATGTGTAATTAAATATATTATTATTTTATTAATATATTTAATAAGGGTAAATTTGGAAAATGAAAACTAAATTGTCTGGTGCATTAATAACATTGTTTTAAGGATAAGTAAGGGACACATGTCATGCTAAAAAAGGAGAAGGTCGAAAAGAGAAGGTTGGAGAGAAGGTTGCTAGCATTCCCCAACATATTGAACAATTAATTTGAAACCATCTGTGTTAATTCTTAGGATTAACTACACTTTAGCCCCTGGAGGTTTAGTGTCAGTATCGAAATGGGCCCCAAGATTTCAATTCAATCAATTTCATACCCGACATTTCAAAGTACCAATTTACACCCGCCGTTACATTGACCGTCAAAGTCAGACATTAAATGCTGACGTGGCAGTCGTGGGACCCACCTCATAACCAAACAGCAGTTAGAAAGAGACCAATATAGGACAAATAATATTAAAAAATTCTTTATTTTTAAAGTTAATTAAAATCAATTATTTAAAACCACACAAAAAAAAAAATTTAAAAACCCTTCAAACTTCCCACCCGTCAAACCCAGATCTTCACCACCCATCATTCTTCATCTTCCTTCTTCTCTCCACCCATCAAATCCTAAATCCAAATCCAGCATCTCCACCACCCATCCTTCTTCTTCCTCCTCATTCTCTTCCAACATCCCCACCTTCGTTCCTCACCCACCACCCACCACCTCATTCTCCCTCAGTCCTCTCCTCCTAGCTCCAACCAATAACAGAGCCCTAGCCAATAGATCTGAGGAGGAGATCTGCGCGTCGTCGGAGACGTATGGCAGATTCAACACCTGGATTTTCGAGGTCGACCAAGACCCATTGCCCCTCCCGATCACCCGAAAATTTCTCCGC